TTCAAAACAAGATAATAGGAAATCAGCAACGGTTACTATAATGCCTCATTATTGTCAAGTAGCTGCCTATACCAGCAGACATAATAAAATCAAACAAAACAAAATAAAATCTGTCCCAGCCTGTGGGTAAGTCCACAAAGACCCTCAAGGGGGAGTGGGGATGAAAAGGAAACAAGAGACAAAAAGGACGGAGACAAGACGTCGTCCTTCTGATCAAGTCTCGTTTATTCAAGGAAGGAGTAACAAATATATAGGGTATTGGGGAAGAGGGATTTGGGTTCTGAGATGTCAGCAGGTAACTTAGCAACAGTGGCAAGACCAAGGGTTATAGGTCAATTCAAATTTTCTGTGCTCGGACTCATAATGCAGGCTGATTGGCATAATTCCTGAATAGGCCAAACAAGCTAGGTAGGCAAGGTGCTGCTTAACTACCAAACTTAACTCCTAAAGGGAGTTAAGGTGCTGCGGCCTGCAGATGTTACTGGTGGTACGGCCTGCAGATATAAGGTGACAGCCAATTACAGGGCTTCCCACAAAAATCAATCAAAACAAAGCAATGAAAGCAATACAGGGCTTCAACTGAGTGATTTCATGGTAATAGCTATCATTCTGTGGATGAGATGGAATCTTATCATTGTTTTAGCTTGCATCCCTCAAATGACCAGTGATGCTGAACATTTTGCATATATTTATTTTACATTTCTACTTGTTCAGCTGAGGGGTATCTATGTGTTTCTTCATGTATTTGCTTGCCATTTGTGTTTCTTCATCAGAAAAGTGTGTGTCCATTTCAGATGCCCATTTTGGTAATGGGTCTTGGTACTTGGGGGGGGGCTTCAATTTTTTAAATTCTTTGTATGTTTTACACGGAACTCCTTTGTCTGAGAAATAGTTAGATAAAAACTTTTCCCAATCATGTGTTTTCTTTTCACTCTGTTGGTTTTTTTTTTTTTTGATGTGTGAAACCATTTTATTAACATGAGATCCAAGTTGTCAATTCTTTGAAACATTTGCCATGCAGTTTGGGTTTTGCTCATGAACTCTATACCTATCCCTGTGAGTTCAAGATTTCTACCTACTTTGTCTGCCAGTAGATTGAGTGTTTCTCTTTTAATATTTAGATCTCTGATCCATTTTGACTTTAATGAATTGCATAGTGATAGACACAGGTCTAGTTTTAGTCTTCAGCATGGGGAAAGCCAGTTTTTCCAGAACCATTTATTAAAGAGGCTATCTTTCTTTTAGAGAAAATGTTTGGCTCCTTTGTCAGAGATTAGTTGGCTGAATGTGTTCATAGTTTTGTCCACATTTTCTAATCTGTTCCTCAAGTCTGTTTTTTATCCAGTACCATACTGAGCTTGTAGTATAATTTCAAGTCAGGGATTGTGATGCCTGCAGCCTTTTCTTTGATTTCCAGGATTGTCTTTGTTTTTTTAGGTTGCAATTGATTCCAGATGAATTTTAGGAATGTTTTTTCTAGATTTCTGAGGTATGCTAATGGTAAGTGTGTCATTTTGTACAACGTGCAATGTCTATGCCAAAATAATTGACATATTGATCATCTTAGTTATCTGTCCTTAGCTATCATTTTTGGTAATTATTTTTAATTTCAAATATTTTAAACTTATAGAAAAGTTGTAGAACATACCTCCAAGAATTCTCATAATACATTTTTCCAGTTTCCCTTAAAGTTAGCGTTTTTATGTACCATAATATAATAATTAGAACTAGAAAATTAGCATTTATACTGTACTATGAGATAAACTTTAAATTCTATTTAAGTTCCTTGGATTACTCTTTATGTCTTTCTTTATGCCAAAATCCAGTGAGAATACCATACTTTATTTAGGTGTCATGCTTCCTTGGTCTCTTCAAATACATGCAGTTCCTTAGTTTTCATTGGCTTTTATGGTATCTTAATTTCTCATCCTTTTGGAATATAATGGCTAGGTGATTTCTGAAATGTCTCTCATTTTAAAATATGACAGGCTCTTATGGGTAGTTTGGGTATACATATATTTGGATAGAATACCCAAAAGTAATATTCTCCTCCCAGTGGATTATTTTGAAGCAGCATGACTTTGGGTATTTTGGTTCAGTTATGAGAAAGTAGCTAAGATATGATAGAAGTTCAACAATATAAACAATAACCAATTTTACCTAAATTCAGTGGTGAAACAACAACAGCAGTTTGTTTTGCCCTTGAACATTAGGCTTATAAGGCCATTTAACAGGTTGTACCTAGAAAAAATAAGCATACATGAACTGAGAAGGAATGAAACCTGTTCCTGCTCACTCACCATAGTGGATTGGTAACTGGTGGTCACCTTAAACACCAGCTGAAGTGAATCAGCGTGGTGCTGAGTGTGGATGGCCCACCTGAGGACTGTGCCAGCATACAAAGCAGACTTGGAGAGGAAGAACAGCATTGTGGGTTCTCCTAAGTGTTGTTGCTTGGAGTCATTGGTTCTCCTGCAGGAGCTTGTCTTGCTGGCTCTGCTGATGTGAACTTGCCTATTATCATTGGAGGAGCCCAGAAACTTGTCACTGAGAATGACTAAGGTTCACTTTGGGGGAGCTCTGGTTCTTACTTTGAGCATTGCTTCCAGGCTCCAGAGGCGAAGATGCGTACTGTTCAATCTCCAGGAGAAGGTGGATTTCTGATGTGAACTTGGTATTTCTCATTGTCAGAGGAGCTAGAGGCCTCATTGTCACCGAGGATGGCTGTGGTATTTTTGGGGGGAGCTCTGGTTCTTATTTTGAACATTGCTTTTTGGCTCCACCTCATAATCCTCACCTGCTGGTACAGATCCTTCACTCCACTGGCATAGACTTTCTAGCTTCCACCACTGACCTTTGGGGCCTTCTCATCACAGATTGGTAAAATAGACATGCATGAGTTATTGTCCTAGGCTCTAGGTTTCCAGCTAAACTCATGCAGGCTATTGCCACGGGATATAGGCCCTCAGTTGAATTTTCTAGGTTTTTCATACTGTCAGCAGATTTCCTGCGTTTTCCTTGTATTTGACTTCCTAGGTGACCATTATAAATAATACTATAAATTATGTGCTCTGTATGTAATTGTTCTCCTTGCACCCCTGACTACAACATTCACTAACACTCAACCACACTGAGAAAGATTTTTTTCTTCATATGGGAATACAGCTTAGGTTGGGAATACCTTTTCCCAATTGATTTTTTTATTATTATTATATATTGGTACTGGGAATTGAACCCAGAGACTCTTACTTGCTAGGCATGTACTATGCCACTGAGCTACCTCCCTGGCCCCCAACTGGGTTTTAATCCTAGTTAATCTTAAACTAGATTTAAACTGTGTGGATCCACTTAATTGTGAATACTTGGTTTTTGGTTATCTGTTACAATGAAAACCCTGTAGCTGGACATGGTAGCACATGTCTATAATGCCATCAACTCTGGAAGAGGATCATAATGAGTTCAGGGCAAGCAGTGGCTACACTGTGAGTTTAAGGACAGCCTGATCTACATAGTGAGATCCTGTCTCAAAAAAATAAACAGAAACAAAACAAATATCATCTGAAAAAACTAGAAAACCATGTAGCCTAAAAATATTGAGATTTTTAAAAAGATTTAAATATCACCTGAATGCATAAAATATATGTAGATAAGCTTACACTTACACCAAACTATACAAAATTGATAAATTTATCAAAATTTATTGAAATTTAGCTACCCAAATACAGACAATGCATGGCATCATTCATTGCTTATAGAAATATAAACAAAATGCAGTATTAAATTAAATCATAATTACATAACAATAATTAATATTAATATACTATTATAATTGTCTACCCATCTCCTGTTGCTATTTGCAATAGTTGAATTGTGTTGAATGTCAATAATTGAGTGGCAATCATTACCATGTACAGTAGTTCATCTCCAGTAACTTGCATATGGCAGTAAAAATTGATCTGGCATGATTGTCACTCATTCCTCACTATATAAAATATATAAATACAAAATACATGCTAACTGCATTATTTCTAAGTCTTACAGTCAACAGCAGGCTATTAGTTAAGCTTTTGATGAGTCAGAAGCTATATAGAGTTTAATTGATGGTAAGAGAGGAGGACAGTGAACTCCAGAGAACCCTAAGCAATTCTACTACTGATGTAGTTACCTTCATATCCTAGGTGATGTAGCTGTCCCCTGCCCTTCACTGCATCAGGAGCAGCAAGGCAGAGATTGGGCACTGAACTCAGCAGCACTGGCACAGAAGGGTAGCTTGGCTACTCTCTTACTGGCTATGCCTTAGGTGGGTGCAAAAGAAAGTCGTATCAACAAAAGCTTGAGAACAGTAAAATGTTCCAGTCCGTGAAACGGGTATAGACATCAAAAGGAATGCCTCCAAGGAAGATATCAGTGCACCAGACTGGCATACAAAAGAATAATACCAGTAATCTTCACAGGGTAAAAGATAGACTGGGGTTTGATGCTGAAGAAAGGTGGAAGTTACACGGATTTGTGGATCTCTAGTTCAAGGCGGTAAATGTGAAGCCAGGAATAATCATGTAGACACTGTCTTACAGCCAGCGATCTCCAGGAAAATTACCAGGAGAAAGCAGTTGTGCACAAAGAGCGCTCTCCATGTCCAAGCCTAGTGTGCTGGCCCCACCACACATGAGGGTTTCTTTCTGCCTGAGACCCCACTGGCCATGCTGTATAGTCAAATCACCCTATGTAGGGAGACATGGTGAGGACGATTGATATCCAGGGTGCAAGAAAACCAGGCCAATGAGTAAAGAGTCACAAACACGACTAGCATTGGTCAGGTAGCCTTGGACCTACAAACTCTAGCCTCCAATTGTGGAGCACTGATAGCCTGGGCTGTGCCGCTGTGAAAACTACATTACCCACAATACCACAGCCGAGTGGCAGCAGGCTGAGCCAATGAACTCTCAGAAGAGGGTCGTTTCCGAGTTGGACCCCTGGGTTTGGGGTGGGACTTCCTACAAAGCTGCCAGTTGATCCACCGAACTGCTCCTGGTTGTCTTGACAGTCAGAACTAGGTGGTGGCACACAAGGGACACGAGGGAAGACTGAGCCCGCTCCCTGCGAGCTGGTCCGAGGCGTGGCTGCAATGGAGTCGATGGCGGCCGTGTCGAGGGCCCCGACCCAGATGAGCGCCTGTACTCCGGCTGGGTACCCGCCTCGGCCCTCCGTGCGCTGCAGAGACTGCAAGAGTCCCCCGCTTCGGAGCTTGGGTCAGAGTTAGGACCGCCTGGGAGCAGGAGAGAGGCCTGGAAGGCTGCGTCCTTGTCAGGACCTCATGGCTGCTGAGTCAGCTTTGAGGACGAGCAGAGCGCCCAGGGGCTGAAGGGGCAGCAGGGGGTTCTCTCACACACACACACACACACACACACACACACACACCCGCTCGCCATGCGCACTCGCCACTCACACTGGTTTCCCGCAGATCCATAACTGCAGGACGTAGTGGAAGGTGTCCCTGTGTGAGCCCACTCCATCTCTGTAATTGTGTCGCCGACTCTGTCTGACACTCTTGCACCGCGTGTGTCTTGTGACCCTGAAGAAACCGCTAGACAGAGGTGGTAAATCCAGGTTGGAAGCTGTTTGATGGTTTCTCCTGCAACGCTTAGGAATCAACGGGGTGAAAGATGAAAAGTGCCTGCAGACCTAGGTCCCAAAATGTGGAAATGAAGACACATGAGGGTGAGCTTGGTCAGGGATCAAGCTGAGTGGTGCTAAGGTTTTTGATTTTATCAACTGGAAGGATGGAAGCTCTATGATATGTGATGTTGAAATTGTTCATAGAACTAGTTTTCATTGGGAACATCAGGAATTTTGTTTTGGGACATTTTAAGAGTGAGGCATTTGAGGTAGACATGGTGGCATAAGTCTGTAACTCCAGCTACCCTACAGTCTGGGGCAGGAAAATTCCTCTCTTCCATGAGAAAAATGGACATGAGTCATTTAGGAGTATGGGGCCAGTATTCATGCCTGTTCACCAGGTTTTGGGCTCAGTAGGATTTAGGAGTGACCCTTGTTGTGTTAGGGAATTTCAGTCAGAAATAGTGGATTAGCTGAGGGGCACAAGTGGTCATCTGGTAGGATCACTGGGTCTGAACTGGAGTGCCTTTGGGGCATGATATTGAATTATTGTTAGATGAATAAAGGGAGACAGGGTCTAGTGAGAGGATATCAAATACAGAAGTGAACAAAGGCAATAGGGGTCTATGATTCCCCAGGCAGTTCATGGTGGCTGAGACCAAAGCAAAGAACCACCAGGCAGAGAGGCGTTCAGAGCAAAATACAGCCTGCCTCTGACAGTAGGAATCATCAAAGATCTGGGTAGTAACGGGTTCTGGCACCATCTGTTCATGTGTCTTTGGACACTTGTGCCAAGCAGTATTGGGAAGACAGAGATTTCCTGGGGCAGGGGTAGAAGTGGCAGTCACCCATGTGAGAATGTTGCAGAACCAGTACAGAACTGAAAGGAAGATGCTCCACACTAAGGAGTTGGAAGGCAACTTTTTATTATGCCAGTAAGCTGGTGGGAACCATTCCAAATCATCAGCCCTGAATCACTTTTGGGTTTAGTTTATATAGGTTTTGCAAGCAGGAAGTATAGAAGCTTAAAAACATGGTGGGTTTTCATTAGATTAAGTTAGACATTGCCTGTTGTTAGGTAGAAAGTCCTTGAAATATACTAGAAAACAAAGTACGGCTTTAGGAGAGAAAACACAGATAGTACAGCTGGATATGGTCAGACTGACCTGAATCAGACATCTGTGTAAAGCAACTGATGAGCCAGTCAAGGCTGACTGGAGTAGCAGTCCAGCTGTGTGGTGAGCAAAGTGACTATATCTTGTCTCAGTATGATATCAGGCTTCTAGTTAGTTTTAAATTTGCAAAATTTCTTTAACAAGAGGACCATGATCTAATGAGAAATTCACTGAGAGGGGAAGTGTGAATTTAAGACCTCCCAGCCTTGGCATTTGGGACATAAGGATGAACTCATACTTGGTTGTGTGTGGGAGGAACAACCTAGGGAACCCTAGAATAATTGCCCCCCAAAAAAGGGGTTAGCACCTTCTTTTGCCAGGTCCAGAGTTGGCAATGGCTTCTCCAGCCACCTCCCTGCTGGTGCTCTGAGAGGACACAGTGGTGACTGGTTTATGGTAAAAGGTGTGAGCCTCCTCGCTGGGTGCTGGGGCTTGGTGTCTCCTCAGAGTTGTGAGATAGGGGAGACGAGGTGGGGTACACTTGGAATCCTAAGAGAAAAGTTGATTGTTGAATGTGTCCCCATCTTGACAGGACCATGTGACCTTTGAGGACATTGCTGTGTATTTCTCTCAGGAAGAGTGGGGGCTTCTGGATGAGACTCAGAGGTTCCTGTACCTTGATGTAATGATGGAGAACTTTGAGCTTACCACCTCACTGGGTAAGGCCCAGGCCCTAGGATTTTATCTGACCTCTCCTCCCCGACAGGCAGCTCTGCCCTTCCTGCAGCCAGACTGTAAGTTGTGCCAACTTCCCACTCTCTTTGCTTGTGAGCTGTGGTGGCCAGAACTTAGCTGCACTGCCTCAGCAGCCCTCAACCTGCTCCAATTTCTGTGCCCTTCTAGATGACATTTCCTTCTAGCTGCCTGTGTCAGGAATTGCAGGCAATGTCATGATCGGTGCTTGTGTGCTTGTCAGACTCTCCTTCCAGCATTTCTGTAATATTCTTTTTTTTTTTTTTATTTTTTTTTCTCATAATGGTCTGTGTGTTACGCTGCCCTCAGCCTTGCTGATTGTGTGCCTTCATTGGCTTTCTGTAAGACTTGCCTTATGCTCTTCACATGTGATTAAACAACTAGGGACGTGGGAATGCCTGGTTGTTTCCCAAGGTAACCATAGGCATGTGAAGGGCATGATGTCAGGATGATGTTAAATCATGCCAGGGACCTGCATATATTTTTGGTGAAAGCAGTATTTTTAGTGAAAGTGCCACAGGCCTTAACCTAATTAATTTCTTTTCTGGCTTCTCATTTCATCTGTGCATTCTGGTCTCCAGTTCCCCAGATGTTCTGTTCTCTTGTGCCCCTCCAAGATGCTTCTAGCACTCACCCACACTCTGTATATATGTGTGTATATTATCATTAAATAGTCCTGAATATGCAATACTCATTTCCAACTGGAATTCCCAGGCTTGGACACAACCAAACTTCTACACAGCATGCACATGTCTCCAGAGATAAGGTCCTGCTGAAGGCCTTTACAGGCAGCTGAGTTGGAGACTCTTCCTGTCCTTCTAAGGAAGACTTTACCTCTTCCTCATGTCCTCTGCTTGGCCAGGCTACCCTCATTCTGTCACTCAAAGATGTCTAGTACTACCACATAGCCCCCTTTCCAGCCTTCCCTAAGTTCCCGCATCCCCAAGGCTACAGGATAGTTTTGGCCAAGGACTGTTTTTTTCTATGAGCCACACAGAAGAAGTGGCTTGAAGTAAAGACTCTGGGTTGGTTGGTTTCCATATGACCAGCAGCCTCCTGTCCACTCCCTTTGTTGTCCCTAGGAATTGACTAAACTAAAGAGCAGTGGTCTCTCCCCTACCACAAGATTGTTCAGGATATTGAAACATTGCTACATACAGAAAATTTAAAACATGATAAATATAATCAGTCTTCAGGTATTTTCACATATTAAAGAAGCCTTAGAGTGATAATGGAAAATTTTAACAAGTAGGGCATAAATTTCCATAAGATAAAAAAATTTTCAGAGTAAGAACAGAATATAAATGGACATAATGTCTCAGAAAGTCTCAGAAACCAGGCCTTAACTAAATTTCCTATGGTAATCACCCCTGAATATTTTTCTGACAGTATCTTGCTAGAGATATAAAGTGTATTAAAAATATGATATTGGGGGCTGGGAATTTAGCTCAGCAGCATAAGCACCTGCCTTGCAAGCAGGTGGACGTGAGTTTGATCCCCAGTACCGATAAAAATAAATAAATAAATAATATGATATTGTCAAACTGGCAGGTCCAGCAGTTATTTTGTTGGAGGATATATGCCAACATCTTTCTAGAGTATTTATAAACATTAGTGGCATTGTGTCTAAGCAAGAAGGTGGTGGGGAATGCTACCCAGAGCTCAGCGCTAGCCACTAGACTCCAAGGCGTCCTTGCTTTCTGGGTCGCTGCTACCTGCTAGAGGTCAGATTCACCCCCCAGTCATTTGGAGCTATATTAAGAAAAGCTTCTCCCTGTTTGTTGTGAGCCTTCTCATCCAGTAGGCTAGCCAGTACCCTTCTACTTGTCTGAAACACACCAGGAGCCATCCTATTATTACCATCAGGTGTCTAGTTACCAGTTGCATGCAGCACTTATGCCCAGAAACATTCTGAATACCTAGGACCCACATATGCTAAGATCTTGTATCCGTCAGCAGGGATTTAGGTCATAAAATCCAAGCATGGAAAATCAGACACTACACAAGCAGGCATCAGGCAAAGCACAAGCGCACTGAGTCAGCAGAGCCCTCTGGCAGCAAATGCTAAGTGTTGCAGCGAGGCAGGAAGCACAGAGTGGTCCAAGAAAGAACTGTGTGGAGTATCCTGGCCCCTGCACCACTCACGTTAGCAGATACCCATGAATTTTAATTTGTAGAAGAAATTGGGTGCCAGCACAAAGAGATAAATTCCCCTGAAAGAAGAATTTATAAGTTCAGTTTGTGAAACTTGGAGGAACACTGTGTACCGCATCATTCAGGGTGACAGGGGAAGCAGCAGTCATCAGCAAGGAGAGGGGAAAGCATTCAGCCATAGCCTGTGAGTTTCTGTAGGAAAGACAGTGCAGGGCAAGCTGTACATATAGCAAGAAGCTGGTTCCTAACATCACAAGGAACTGGCACTGTGCCACCTCCATTTTTTGTGTTTTCAACAAAGAATTTCAGATAAGATTCCCAGGCAGTCTTATAGAGTGTGGGTAAGTGTTGCAAAATGATAGATTTCCAAACGACAGAGAGAATATACTTTAAAGTGTGAAGGTATACAAGCACCAAGATGACAGTTGTACAAATGAGGTCTCAGGCTACATTTATATGATTGACTGGATCTTCAAGGCATATTCCTTGCTTCCTTGGAGATCATTATTGTTTTACAAGGAAAACAGACAATGTAGACCAACTTCAGAGGGAAGAAGACACTTGTTTACTCCCTGATTAATTTGTCTTGGAACCTTGGGGCTTTTCTTATCCCACATTCATGGTCTGGGGTTTTCATAGACTATGAATCCTATCAGCACCACTCAAAGGAGGTTACATACTTCCTGGGCTAACATTTGAAATCAGAAACTGTTGGATTTTATCTGCAGCTAATGATTAAATAAAGGGAAAAAAATATCACTTTGTCTTTGTTTTTGATCTAACCCCCTACTGGCTGACTCCAGGTCTGCTAGTCTTAACTTTCCGCCTAATAGGTCATGTTGACTGATTCAAATAATTTTGGTGAGCTTTGATAGGAGGCTGGCCTTAGTTGTCCAATACCTGTGCCTGGGTAATTAGGGCAAAGCTGTGTACTCCAAGAGTGGACCACCAATAATAATATGGTTTGCAGGATTGTTCTTGTTTGGGTCATTATTCTACGAACAGTATTCTCCTTTTGCTGTCAGTTGAGAATCAGGTAGCCCTAGGGTAGAGGGGCAGTCTCTCTGGCCAGCAGCATTTTGTAAGCTATCAAAAAAATCTTAGTAAACAGAAAGATTTAAAATACAGTAACCTTCTATTAGAGGCAACATGCATTTCCTTATTTCTCTTTCAGTTTGTGAGCATGAAACAAAGGATGGAGAAGCACTTTCTGTGCAGAGTGTTTCTGTAAAAGCAGTGTCACAGATCAAGACTCTAAAGGCAGGTCCATCAACCCAGAAGGTGCAACCCTGTGACATCTGTGTCCCAGTCGTGAAAGACATTCTGCATCTGGATGATCTACCTGTACAGAAGCAGTACTTTGTTAGGACATGTGCGAACCATCACCAAGAACAGAAGCACCACAGTGCAGAGAATCTGTTAAAAAGAGATACAGACAGTGCTTCTTTTGTGAAGAGCAGTTTATTTCATGTATCAGGGAATCCCCGCTTCTGTGGGAAGATTAGACAGGACTTCTCAGCTGAGTGGGGTTGTCTTCAGGCTGTCCCCAAAGATAAGCCAAACAAAATTACAACAGGTGTGGAGGCTGTTCACAGTGGAAAAAGTTATTGCATATCAAATCAATGCAGAAAAGCATCCAGCCCCAAACACACATTTGTTCAGCACCCAAAAATCATTAATATAAAAAGTTATTTTGAGTCCAGCAAATGCAGGAAAACCTTCCAAGAGAAGTACTCACTTGTTCCACTCCAGAGAGTCCACAGTAGAGAAAGGCCTTATGAGTGCACTGAATGTGGAAAGTCTTTCAGCCAAAAAGCCACCCTTATTATACACCAGAGAGTTCATACTGGAGAAAAACCATATATATGTCATGAATGTGGAAAGTCTTTTAGTCAAAGCTCTAACCTCATTGAACATTGCAGAACTCACAGTGGAGAAAGGCCTTATGTGTGTGGAGAATGTGCGAAAGCCTTTGGGTGCAAATCCAATCTTGTTCGGCACCAGAGAACGCACACAGGAGAAAGGCCATATGAGTGTGCTGAATGTGGGAAGTTCTTTAGGCAAAGCTTCAGCCTTGTTGAACACCACAGAATTCATACCACAGCAAGGCCTTATGAGTGCAACCAGTGTGAAAAATCCTTCAGTCAAAAAGCCACTCTTATTATACATCAAAGAGTTCACACTGGAGAAAAGCCATATAAGTGTGATGAATGTGGGAAATCCTTCAGCCAGAGCTCTAACCTTATTGAACATTGCAGAATTCACACTGGAGAAAGGCCTTATGAGTGTGAGGAGTGTGGCAAATCCTTTAGTCAAAGAGCTACCCTCATTAGACACCAGAGAATTCACACAGGAGAAAGGCCTTATGAATGTGGGGAATGTGGGAAATTCTTTAGACAAAACTTCAGTCTCATTGAACACCGCAGAATTCATATGACAACAAAAATTTATGAGTGTGACCAGTGTGGAAAATCCTTTAGTCAGAGAGCTATGCTTATTAGACACCAGAGAGTTCATACTGGAGAAAGACCTTATGAGTGCAGTGAGTGTGGGAAAGCCTTTGGATACAAATCCAAACTTGATCGACACCACAGAACTCACACTGGAGAAAAGCCATATGAGTGTGCTGAATGTGGAAAATTCTTCAGGCAAAGTTACAGCCTTACTGAACACCAGAGGATTCACAGTAGATCAAGGCCTTATGAGTGTGGCCAGTGTGACAAATCCTTTAGCTGAAGAGCTACCTTCATTAAACACCAGAGAGTTCACACTGGAGAAAAACCTTACAAATGTGGTGAATGTGAGAAAACCTTTAGTCGAAGCACCAGTCTTATTCAACACTACAGAATTCACACTGGAGAAAGGCCATATGAATGTGGCCAGTGTGGGAAATCTTTTAGGCAAAAGTCTATCCTCATTCAACATGAAGTGGTTCACACTGGAGAAAGGCCCTATGAGTGTAACAAATGTAGAAAATCCTTCAGCCAACGCTCCAGCTTCTTTCAACACCAGAAGTGTCACCATGGAGAGGCCTCATGAAGGCAGCAAATTCAGGAAGTCTGTCAACTCAAGGTCCTAATATCATTTAGATCCTGAAAGCCCACAATTGAGGTATTAGGCCTGGAAATGTGCCGTCTGCTGAATAAGCCTTTGTGAGGAGGCTGTTTGCCTGAAGATGAACCTTGTACTTCCAAGCATCCAGAGGAGCGAAATGCCCTATTATTTCTATGTATGAGTGAGGTTTATGGGAGCTACTCTGCACATTCTTATCTTTGGGCCTTGTCAGAGGTAAATCGCTGCCATATTATCTATAAAAGCTGTTTTGCCTCCAGCTCCTTGCACAGTGTACACTACTCCTACCAGCTTGGCTAGGAAGGACAGACATCTGCATTCTCCCATTCTCTCAAAGACATCCCCAGTGGCCTGAAACCAGAAAGGTAATTTTGAGTATATAAAAGGTCTGGCCATGTTTTCACTAGAAGGGTGGTCTGGGTTCATATGGAGGCTTGCAGGGAAGGCATAACTTCTATTAAATTTCTGGTTGTGTGTAACCCTGTGACTGATGTTTACAGAGCTCAGATCACTAGCCAATATCATCTTACCAGATTGTTCTAATTCTGTTCTAGGTGCTGTGTTCAAGCCTTGCGTGGGTTGGAATATCAACCCTGATTATGTGAAAGGTTGGAAAACAATCTAGACTGCTACTTTGTGTGATTCAGTAGGTAGATTGTAATAGCAGATAATTTTCATTACTTCCTGCTTGACTTACATTGCCACTCAAAACCTCCAGTGGGACATGCAGAGTTCCCATTATAAGTATGAGCCTCAATGCCTCTGGTTTGTTTCAATGGTCACTCTGAAGAAGCAGCATTTAATGACTACATGCAGCATTTTTGGAGTACCCTCCATTTATTCCATTATTTCTACATGATTGCACATAATGCCCAACACTGTAGGATAAAGCTTTCCTTACATTCTATAAAGAGTCATGTCCTCTTATGTCCATTTTTCCATATGTTGAGATCAGTAGTAAGGTGCAAGGTCAAGGCATGAACAAGAATTAATATGGTGATACACCATGTCATTAATAGGAATTAAAGGAACTGGCAGAAAGTCCGATGGAATATACTGGTGGGAAAAGGGTTGAAGGGAGGGCAGGGAAATGGGAAAAATAAGATATATTATGTACAGGTACAAATGCCCTATGATGAATGTGATCATTATATTAAAAATGTACCAATAAAATTAATTTTTTAAAAAACACAGCACAAATTCTCACAAATATGTCTTCACAACCACACTGCTTCCAAATCTGTATGTCCTGCAGTTTAAGAAGATATTTCAAGAAGATATGAAGGTTTTGCAGAATCTTACTGTGTTTCTGGAAAGCTCACCTAATTCTAGATGCTATATAGGCCAAAAAAAAAAAAAAAGAAAGAAAGAAAGAAAGAAAGAAAGAAAGAAAGAAAGAAAGAAAGAAAGAAAGAAAGAAAAGAAAAAGAAAAAGAAACCAGGGAGATAGAATGAAGTTCCAGTAGGTGAAAGAATAAGAATATTTTTGTCTGGCAAGTATTACTGTTTTCCTGCACTGGTAAAAAGGTTCCATTCCCTAGGGTTTCATTCCGTTACCTTCTTCCTCAACCCTAGGGAAGGGAACCCTTGTACCAGTGCAGGAAAACAGAAGTTAATGGAATGAACATGAGTTTGTCAAACTTGGTTTCCAAAAAATATAGATATTGTACTCTCAGATATTAAAAATTTACTGAAGTGTAACATGAACATATTTGAAATGTGTAATTTCGAAGGATTTGTCATACATATAAATCTATGAAGCCTTTGTTGTGATGAAAGTACTAAGAATTTGTCTTGTGCTCTTGTACAATATTGCTGTTTTACCTAGGCCTTCAGGTGACCAATAATCTACTTCTATTTTCACAGTGGATTACTTTGTGTTTTTATAATTTTATATGAATGGAATCATAAGGTGTTTTTTTTTTCTATTTTTCCACAGTGGGTAATTTTAGAACCATTAATCTTGCTTATGTAAACTTTCTTTTCGTTGCTGAATAGTCTTATGTCCTATGGATATGCCACTCTTTGTTTATTCATATACTAGTTCATGTACTAATGAATTGTTTCTAGTTGGGGCTGTTAACAAAACTACAAAGAACACAGACATACAATTCTTTATATGGAAAGGCATTTTAATAATTTCAAATTGGGAAGTGTTTCATTTTTAAAAGACTGCCAAATCAATAAATATCTCAATGTGATCCTTCTTTATAGCTGAGTAATACTCCATTGTATAGAAATACCACAACTTTTTTTATCCATTCCTCAGTTGATGGACACTTGGGTTGTTTCTAAGATTGGGCAATTACAAATCGTGCTGCTATAAACATAGGTGCACATATATCACTGTGGTATGATGCTTTTAGTTCTTCTGGGAATATGCCTAGAAGTAGAATAGCTGGAACAAATGGGCCTTCCAATCCCAGCTTTTTGAGAAATCTCCACAGTGACCTCCACAAAGGTTGTACCAGTCTACACTCCCATCAACAGTGTAGGAGAGTTCCTTTTTCCCCACAGCCTTTCCAGCATTTGTTGTCATTGGTTTTCTTGATCCTAGCCATTCTTTCAGGAGTGAGATGGAATCTCAGTACTGTTTTAATTTGCATTTCTCTAGTGACCAATTATGATGAACATTTTTTCATGTATTTATTTGCCATTTGTATTTCTTCATCAGAGAATTGCATATTCATCTCAGATGCCCATTTTTGGATTGGATCTTTGAATTTTGGGGTCTGAGTTTTTTTTAATTCTTTATATGTTTTAGACAAAAGTCCCTTGTCTGAGGGGGAGTTCACTAAGATCTTTTCCCAGTTTGTGGGTTTTCTTTCATTATGCTGGAGATTTCTTTTGACTTGCAGAAACTTTTTAATAAGAGGTGGTCCCCGTTATTGATTCTGGGAAGTATTTCCCGTGCGATTTGAGTCCTGTTCGTTAATTCTCTACCTACCCCTATGTCTTCAAGGTTTTTACCCAATTTGTCTTCCAATAGATTTAGTGTTTCAGTTTTAATATTCAGATCTTTGATCCATTTAGATTTTAATTTAGTACATGGTGATAGGCATGGGTCTAGCTTTAGTTTTTGGCAAATGGAGAGCCAGTTTTTCCAACACCATTTACTAAAGAGACTATCATTCTTCCAGTGAACCTGCGTGGCTCCTTTATCAAAGATAAGGTGGTTGAGTGTGTTTGTAGTTGTGGTTGTATCTTCTAATCCATTCCATTGATCTTCGGCTATGTTTTGATTCCAGTACTATGTTGATTTTACTACTGTTGCTTTGTAGTATAACTTCAAGTCAAAGATTGTGATGCCTCCTGCCTTGCCTTTGCTGCTTAGAATTGCTTTTGCTATTCTAGGTTTCTTCTGGTTCCAGATGAATTTTAGAAGTGATTTCTCTAGATTTAAAAGATATGTTGTTGTTGGTTTTCTTGATCCTGGCCATTCTTTCAGGAGTGAGATGGTATCTCAGTGTGGTTTTAATTTGCATTTCTCTAATGACCAATGATGATGAACATTTTTTCATGTATTTATTTGCCATTTGCATTTCTTCATCTGAGAAGTGCGTATTCATCTCAGATGCCCATTTTTGGATTGGATCTTTGAATTTTGGGGGTCTGAGTTTTTTTAATTCTTTATATGTTTTACACAAGAGTCCCTTGTCTGAGATAGAGTTCACTAAAATCTTTTCCCAGTTTGTGGGTTTTCTTTTCACTATGCTGGAGATTTCTTTTGACATGCAGAAACTTTTTAATAAGAAGTGGTTCCAGTTATTGATTCTGGGAAGTATTTCCTGTGCGGTTTGAGTCCTGTTCATGAATTCTCTACCTACTCCTATGTCTTCAAGGTTTCTACCCAATTTGTCTTCCAATAGATTTAGTGTTTCTGTTTTAATATTCAGATCTTTGACCCATTTAGATTTTAATTTAGTACATGGTGATAGGCATGGTTCTAGCTTTAGTTTTCGGCAAATGGAGAGCCAGTTTTTCCAGCACCATTTATTAAAGAGACTGTTGTTCTTCCAGTGAACCTGCTTGGCTCCTTTATCAAAGATAAGGTGGATGAGTGTGTTTGTAGTTGTGGTTGTATCTTCTAATCTATTTCATTGACCTTTGGCTCTGTTTTGATTCCAATACCATGTTGATTTTACTACTGTTGCTTTGTAGTATAACTTCAATTCAGGTATTGTGATGCCTCCTGCTTTGTCTTTGCTGCTTAGAATTGCCTTTGCTATTCTAGGTCTCTTCTGGTTCCAGATGAAATTTAGGGGTGATTTCTGTAGATCTATAAGGTATGTTGATGGTTTTTCTATTGGGATTGCATTGAATCTGTACAACAGTTTTGGGAGAATGGCCATCTTCACAATGTTTGTTCTTCCTATTCATGAGCAAGGGATGTCTTTCCATTTTCTGAGATCATCCTCAGTTTCCTTTTTCAGTGTATTATAATTTTCACTGTATAAGTCTTTCACTTCTTTTGTAAGAGTAATTCCTAAATATTTCATTTTTTTGCTTGCTAATGTGAAGAGTGCAGTTTCTCTTATTTCCCTCTCTGTGATTTTGTTGTTAGTGTATAGGAATGCTGTTGATTTCTGAGTATTGATTTTGTATCCAGCTACATTACTGAATTTATTTATTATATCTAAGAGTCTTTCAATGGAGTTTAGGGGGTCTTCTATGATGAGTATCATGTCATCTGCAAACAATGATAATTTAACTTCTTCTTTTCCTATCTTTACCCCTTTTATTTCTCTCTCTTGTCTAATTGCTCTGGCTAGTAATTCTAGTACTATATTAAGTAGGAGTGGTGATAAAGGACATCCTTG